TGCTGGGGGGAGGTGGTCAGAGCACATTTTTCAAACACTTTGTTTCTGTATTTTACTGCTCTCTGTTCTTCAGTACTATTGAGTATTCATTCCTCTTCTGACTTTTTTACTTTTATTCCTGACATTTGAAAACACAGCTGGTGTTCCACACGTCACTTTCTTAGGTCCACTTTTGTTTTCAACCTTGGCGAATAAGTAGCGAGAGGTTAAGTAAACCACGGTTGAGCTCTTGGTTTACTGAGATCTTGCTGGAAAATTAAGGCATTCACAATGAGAACATATTCAGAGAAGCAAGATATTCCCCATCCACGATTTTACATTACAGTTTTTTAAAAAAATTGATGGATGTTGTTGGTTCCATGAATGATTTTTGCAACTATATCTTGTTCTAGCTTAAAAACCAGCACGGGCTTGCCTTTTATTTGGAAAATAACTTTGAGGCAGGTATGCATCGGAAATGTATGACTTGGGGTGTAACAGTACTTTGAAGGAGAATGTAAGCATGTGTAGTTGTGTTTAAAATAAAGAACGATATACAAAAACGCTATTTTTTGAACCAAACATTTTCTGTATTGTCATGTCTTGCTCTTCCTTTATCATTCCATTCACGACAAAAAAGGAAGCTCCTGTTGAAATTGCTACTGTGAAAGTTTGAGTTGACAACGCTGGTGGTGCTCTTTAAAGCCACACAGTAATTATTTGACCTTAAAAATCAGCATGAGTCTACATTGACATTTATTACATGAACAGTGTTTCAGTTGTTGCTATGGCAATCCCATACAACATGAGAAAAGATTCGATGTCAAGCCTCTCGCCTGTCAATTAAACGTGCAAACTATTGCCTGCCCCCCACCTCCGGCCAAAAAAAGATAACTAATATAAACTGAGGAATCACTCAATAAATGCCGTCCGACTTAATGTAATGCAGATCGCAGAGGCTTTATGCACGTATAAAACGAGTAGCCCTAAATGTTTTATTGTTAAAATGAGAAAGTCATGTAGCTGTCAATGCTACCGTACGTTGTCCATGTCAAGTGGGTGTTGGCTGAGCAGCAGCATCTGGAGATGTCATCCACAGATAGACTCCATCTATCAGGGAGTCTCCTGCCTCCGGCGAGTATCTGAAGATAGGGCATTTTTTTTGGTCATACTGCTTATCAATATCTGATCATAACTTCACTCACTGCCTAAGGTTTTCGAGGATAAATGTGGTGCAAAATTGGATGGAACTCAACAGAGGCGCCCAGTTAGAAATCATCCACTTGGAACTGAAAATAAGACCGCTGGATGTCTCCAATCTGCTGGATGGCATGTTAAGACTGGGTGCTGAACAAGACGCTTTTGAAAAGTTAACCGGCTTTAATAATTTAAAGTGTCACCTGCTTTGAAAACAGTGTCAGTATCAGTGCCTGAAATAAGTACACAAACAAGGGAAGGCAAGTTTTTCATTCCCTAGTTGGAAGCTCATGTTTCATATGTGCATGTAATATACTGTAGTCATCTCTGATTATTATTGCATCTCAATAATTTTGTTTTGCCCACACTCAGAAGAAAAAAAAAATTGTGCACCGCCAGAACTAAAAATAGTAGAATTTACGTTGAAAATTGCTATTCAAAGTGAGGTGACCGTAAGTTTGTAGTTCTCCCCGTCTACCATCATGATAGTTGCGTCGCATGATGGCCTTTTCATGAAAAAGAGATGTGAATTGACTTGAACGGAATATTGACTGATAAACGCAAATTTGATCATTGTGCACCATTGGTAAATCCTTCGCCTGCTGCTGCTACTATGCTGCCAGCATGATTGAGTAAATAAATGCATGTGGGGATCAGTCATTTCACATCCATATATATATATGTATGTATGTATGAAAGGACTAGGAATAGGCCCCTGGCAGCTGACATTTTTTTTCCACTGAAAACATTATGTGCATTTTACGTTAGGATCACTTTATGGAGTAGACTTTCAAAGAACAAATTTCACTGCTTGCAATGCTGTACCTGAAGGTCAATGAATGAAAGGTCATGACCTTGTTCATATATTGGCCGAACTCGAACCTAGTGTATGTTTGCTTCATAAACGAGCTGATTCTATGAACGGTTTTTAACCAGGAGTTCATTTTCATTCAAGAGTGAAAGAGTTCCTCTACAAAAAAAACCTGACTAAACACAATGTAAACAAGATTTTATTCGGTGTGAAACGCCATTACTTGGCAACCCCCGGCCAATAACATTCACACAGCGCATGCATCGCTAAAATGTGATGCATGTTCGGTGAGAATCATTCGGTTCCCACATGTAGTTTAGGATGTATTGATGGTGATCCAAGTGGAGAAAAATAATACCTGCACCTCATATGCACAGACTGTATTGTATTGGAGGTGAACCATTCATATGAAACTTTAAAAATCCAAAGTTTGTCTATTGCAAAGGTAAGGAGCCAATTCCACCCCAATAAACGAGAGTTACTGCACATCAGAATGTAATTTAATTAGTGCTCTTCAACAGCCCTGACTGGGAAGTGATTGTTGCATTATTGTGTGCGCAGCGGATGAATTTGATGTATTTCAAACAAAACATTCCAGGATTTGTCTTTACATTTTATTCAACTTCCATTACAAAGAGCACATCAAAGGAAACAAACAGGAGAACCTGAAAGAGAGAACGACGGCAGGTGAGTGGGAGCTTGAGAAGAAACAAGCCTGGGCATTCATTTTTTTTTTTTTTTAAACAGTTGTTACCTGATTATGCTTTCTCTGGTGCTACCTCCTCATCTCCACCTTTGGTGCTACGAGTGTAGATGAGTTGGGCTCTGTGCTTCGACACCAGCTTGATCATGCCTGCAACAACACGGCGCACACATTTCAAGTTGTTGGGTTGCATTACATGCATCGTGTAAGCACGTGAGCGGCCATTGTCCATTGGGTGATGTCAACTGTCACCCAGAAAAACCTCCCTAGAAGATTGGAGTGCAAAAGGTCTCCAGCAGTTTAGTATGCAGTCAGATTTAAGATGTAGGACACAGGCAATAAGAGGCTGTGGTGCAGGCTTGACGTTTTGCTACAATATTGCAGAAAACGAGACCGTGATCATTACCTTGAATCCAACTTTTACGACTTTGATAAAAAGGCGAGGAAATAATCTAATTGTACCAACACTGTTCTCTGCACTGATGGGGATGCAAACTATTTGTGAAAAATAAATAAATACTTGGGAGCGTAAAGGACCCCCCCCCCCATTTTCCCCCAAAACCCCTTTCCACAAACCACCTTTCCTGCTTTTTTCAGGTGAGGTTTTGTTCCAGTTCCCATGAAGCAGTCAACAAGATAATGGACAAAAACTGTGAGGAATTAGTGAAGGTTTTAAGACACTCTGAAATTGAAGGTTGACCAGCACCAATTAATGAATGACAATCACATTTTGAAGCTGTCAGAGCTGCATCACTTTGTCCATTTAACATTTTCAATTGTGATTCACCTTTAGCGAGCAGTTCCTGCAGGGCGTTCCTGGCCAGGGAGCCACGGATCTTCAGCCTCTCAGACACAACAGCAGGTGTGATGAGCTTGTAGTTAGGAACTTCTTTGTACAGCTTGTCGTAGGTGGCCTTGTCGAAGAGGATCAGGTTGTTGAGCTTGTCCCTCACTTTTCCCTTGGACCACTTCTGCTCAACCACACAAACATATAAAGTCAAGTGCTGCCAGGAGAAACACTTCACAATGAGTCAATACCTTCTTCTTGGCTTTGCCTCCAGACTTATTAACTGGGTCCTTGTCCTTCTTGGACTTCCCAGTGTCCTTTTTCTTGTCTGTCTTGGGAGGCTGAAGGTGGGGAAGGTGGGTCATTAATTTGCAAGCAGATCCAATAGAAAATTACAGTTCAATCTAGAGGATGTGTATATACACAAGTAATTACATGTGAATATCACAAGGGCCATTTGGTAATAAGACGTCACCCAGAACAGCGTGAAATTCTGAGCATGATACCAAGCCGCTAGCCAATGCTCACGCAAACTTGAGCACATCACTGGCATGGAAAGGCCTTTTTTTGTGTCGCTAAGCATCAAAACGTACATTTATCAACGTGTGGAAGTATCCATCAACTAAAACGTCAAGTTATCATCAGGACTTATGCGCATACAAGACCCGTTGTTTCATTGTTCCAATGCTTTTATGGAGCTTCTTCGCTCACAAGCGGTATGAAAGCGTGGCGGAATTAGCACACAAGCTAACCAGCGTCAGCTAACTTTGTTTGGGCGTTTGCTTCCATATTGACAAAAAATGAAATGAAGCACACTTGCTTCGCCGTATATCCCGACTGTTCAATCGTCAGACGAAGCCATAGAAACGCGTGGATTTGTTGACTTTAACTCGTTTTAAGCCACGCTAGTTGCACTCACCATGTTTCCTCGTCAAGATGTCGGAGCGAAAGGAAGTCAGCCCCTGCGAAAAGGCATAAGACAACCCGTACATGCGGAAGTGGAGTAGAGGATTGTGGGAATATGAGTTATCGCGTTGATTCCGTTTCCACCTCGAATGAATGCTCAGAAACGCCAATAAGTGTCAGCACAGGATCAACGTTTTCGGAAAATTACCAGAGTAAAATCAAAAATGATGGGACAATAAAATGCCCAAAAAAATAAAAAATGCAAAATCGCCCCACACCGTGTTATTGTCACGTGACCGCTGCTGTCGGACGTCGCCAAGATGGTGATCTTCAGTGTGTATGTAGTCAACAAGGCTGGAGGTTTAATTTACCAGTATGACAACTATGTGCCGAGAGCGGAGGCCGAAAAGACGTTTAGTTACCCTTTAGATTTGGTGCTCAAGCATCACGATGAGAAAGTGGTCGTGTCGTTTGGGCAGAGGGACGGAATCAAAGGTAATGCCTCAAATTTTGACGCTGACTAGCATTCGTGTTAGCTCATGTCCTGATTGCTTGCTAATAGAAATGTAGTCCAATATGTTTCAGTAAACGTGGGGTTTAATTTAATACTCTAAGATCCAACAAATAGCGACATGTTACTTTTATACTTCAATGAACAATGTCCGTTAAAATCCGTTGGTCGTACATTGTGTTACGAAGAAATATAGCAAAACTCAAATTTAAGTTATTACACCCACAGACAAAAACATTGTTGATTTGTCTCAATTAATGTCTAGTAGTTGTAATAACATTTTTATTCTTCCAGTGGGCCACGCAGTTCTCTCCATAAATGGGATTGATGTGATGGGAAAGAGTACAGCGGATGGCAAGGACATCCTGGAATACTTGAAAGACCCCTCCAATTATCCAGTGTCAATTCGATTCGGACGGGCTCGACTCAGCTCCAATGAGAAGCTGATGTTGGCGTCTATGTTTCATTCGTAAGTCAGATTCAGTACATCTGGTTTCATTCCTAATTCTCTCGCACATTTGCAGCATCTTTTGTTTTCCCCAGGTTGTTTGCTATCGGATCACAGCTGTCTCCAGAGCCTGGAAGTTCAGGGATTGAGATGCTGGAAACGGACGTGTTTAAACTCCACTGTTTCCAGACTCTTACAGGTGGCGTATGAAGCTAATTTGCTCCCAGTTTAAAAAAAAAAAAAAAATGCCAGATGACCACCTGTATAAAATGTAACTTTTGTGTCCTCTCAGGAATAAAATTCATAGTGCTGGCAGACCCGCGACAAGCCAGCATTGATGCTCTCCTCAGGAAAATATATGAGATCTATGCAGATTTTGCTCTAAAGAATCCATTCTACTCACTCGAGATGCCTATCAGGTACACATGGTCACCTTTAACCTTACGCTCCAATCCAATCTGGAATTTTAAGTGTATTTTACCCCTTGTGGCCAAGTTTATTATGTTTGAATTTTCTATTTCCAGATGTGAACTATTTGATCAGAACTTAAAAAGCGCCCTGGAGATTGCAGAGAAGGCTGGCAACTTTGGAGCTGGGTCATGAAGCAGAAAATAATCATTTTTTAGTTCTTGTTCATTTATAAAAAAATTTTGCTGTGTCCCAGTGACAATACAATGACTACACTGTATATACTTCTTGTTTTGTAAATACTATTAAACTCAAATAATATTTCAAGTGACACGATTGTTTGCAAGGTAGCTCATAAGAACATTGAAAATGGTTGACTCTTCAGAGTAGGTTCATGTCTTTAAGAGGCTGCTTGAGGAGATATGTCTCGAGAAAAACCTCCAAAGTTGAACACCAGTAAATTAAATGTAAAAATGGGGGGACTAGAAATGAGAACAACTTGGAAACCTTGGAACTTGGAAATGATTATTTGCCATGAGGTGGGGGATCCACCCCATTTCAGTCGTTCCCTTGTTAAATTAATGATGAGATACATAGACAGTGTAACAGTTTTTGGACACAAGCATGTCCCAATTTTTTTTGCTTCATTTTACATGCTGAAAATAATGTGATTTGTATAAAAAAAAACTTGTTAAAAAACCAACAAGCTAATATGACGAAGGTTTCAGATGTATCTTCTTGTGGGGAAATTAGGACATCTTAGTCAGACTTCTTGGACATGTGACCCATCTTAGTGCGAACGTTACGCAGCAGGAAGAAGCAGACAGCTGTGATGCCACAGACGATCTCTGCAACCCAGAAGGCCATTTCCCAGTCGTAGTGTTTGGCAATGGTGCTGAATGGGAGCCCAGAGAGGAAGCCACCAACTGAGGAAGAGATCAAATTTGCTGAATTTCTTACCTTCAGATTATTAAGACAAAATATTCAAGTTCAGTTGTGGGAGTTTACCAATCCAACATGTCCAAAATTGTGCAAAAGCACTTTTGCACCTCTGGATGTTTTATTCTCGCAAATTGTTTTATTCTGCCTAAGGTTTTCGAGGATAAATGTGGTGCAAAATTGGATGGAACTCAACAGAGGCGCCCAGTTAGAAATCATCCACTTGGAACTGAAAATAAGACCGCTGGATGTCTCCAATCTGCTGGATGGCATGTTAAGACTGGGTGCTGAACAAGACGCTTTTGAAAAGTTAACCGGCTTTAATAATTTAAAGTGTCACCTGCTTTGAAAACAGTGTCAGTATCAGTGCCTGAAATAAGTACACAAACAAGGGAAGGCAAGTTTTTCATTCCCTAGTTGGAAGCTCATGTTTCATATGTGCATGTAATATACTGTAGTCATCTCTGATTATTATTGCATCTCAATAATTTTGTTTTGCCCACACTCAGAAGAAAAAAAAAATTGTGCACCGCCAGAACTAAAAATAGTAGAATTTACGTTGAAAATTGCTATTCAAAGTGAGGTGACCGTAAGTTTGTAGTTCTCCCCGTCTACCATCATGATAGTTGCGTCATATGATGGCCTTTTCATGAAAGAGATGTGAATTGACTTGAACGGAATATTGATTGATAAACGCAAATTTGATCATTGTGCACCATTGGTAAATCCTTCGCCTGCTGCTGCTACTATGCTGCCAGCATGATTGAGTAAATAAATGCATGTGGGGATCAGTCATTTCACATCCATATATATATATGTATGTATGTATGAAAGGACTAGGAATAGGCCCCTGGCAGCTGACATTTTTTTTCCACTGAAAACATTATGTGCATTTTACGTTAGGATCACTTTATGGAGTAGACTTTCAAAGAACAAATTTCACTGCTTGCAATGCTGTACCTGAAGGTCAATGAATGAAAGGTCATGACCTTGTTCATATATTGGCCGAACTCGAACCTAGTGTATGTTTGCTTCATAAACGAGCTGATTCTATGAACGGTTTTTAACCAGGAGTTCATTTTCATTCAAGAGTGAAAGAGTTCCTCTACAAAAAAAACCTGACTAAACACAATGTAAACAAGATTTTATTCGGTGTGAAACGCCATTACTTGGCAACCCCCGGCCAATAACATTCACACAGCGCATGCATCGCTAAAATGTGATGCATGTTCGGTGAGAATCATTCGGTTCCCACATGTAGTTTAGGATGTATTGATGGTGATCCAAGTGGAGAAAAATAATACCTGCACCTCATATGCACAGACTGTATTGTATTGGAGGTGAACCATTCATATGAAACTTTAAAAATCCAAAGTTTGTCTATTGCAAAGGTGAGGAGCCAATTCCACCCCCAATAAACGAGTTACTGCACATCAGAATGTAATTTAATTCGTGCTCTTCAACAGCGCTGACTGGGAAGTGATTGTTGCATTATTGTGTGCGCAGCGGATGAATTTGATGTATTTCAAACAAAACATTCCAGGATTTGTCTTTACATTTTATTCAACTTCCATTACAAAGAGCACATCACAGGAAACAAACAGGAGAACCTGAAAGAGAGAACGACGGCAGGTGAGTGGGGACATGAGAAGAAACAAGCCTGGGCATTCTTTTTTGTTTTTTTTAAAAAACAGTTGTTACCTGATTATGCTTTCTCTGGTGCTAAGGAGCCAATTCCACCCCAATAAACGAGAGTTACTGCACATCAGAATGTAATTTAATTAGTGCTCTTCAACAGCCCTGACTGGGAAGTGATTGTTGCATTATTGTGTGCGCAGCGGATGAATTTGATGTATTTCAAACAAAACATTCCAGGATTTGTCTTTACATTTTATTCAACTTCCATTACAAAGAGCACATCACAGGAAACAAACAGGAGAACCTGAAAGAGAGAACGACGGCAGGTGAGTGGGAGCTTGAGAAGAAACAAGCCTGGGCATTCATTTTTTTTTTTTTTTAAACAGTTGTTACCTGATTATGCTTTCTCTGGTGCTACCTCCTCATCTCCACCTTTGGTGCTACGAGTGTAGATGAGTTGGGCTCTGTGCTTCGACACCAGCTTGATCATGCCTGCAACAACACGGCGCACACATTTCAAGTTGTTGGGTTGCATTACATGCATCGTGTAAGCACGTGAGCGGCCATTGTCCATTGGGTGATGTCAACTGTCACCCAGAAAAACCTCCCTAGAAGATTGGAGTGCAAAAGGTCTCCAGCAATTTAGTATGCATTCAGATTTAAGATGTAGGACACAGGCAATAAGAGGCTGTGGTGCAGGCTTGACGTTTTGCTACAATATTGCAGAAAACGAGACCGTGATCATTACCTTGAATCCAACTTTTACAACTTTGATAAAAAGGCAAGGAAATAATCTAATTGTACCAACACTGTTCTCTGCACTGATGGGGATGCAAACTATTTGTGAAAAATAAATAAATACTTGGGAGCGTAAAGGACCCCCCCCCCCATTTCATGCTAGACACATTTTGCATAACCACCGACACCACTTCAACCTCTCTAAACCTCATTTCAGTCAGTCTCATTGAAATAACTATATCTTCAGCTTTTTTTCATCGGCAACACTAAATGGCAGTAAAGGAAGAACTGTCAAATATCCTCCCATCAAAATCAGAAAAGGTAGTTTGGGTTGGTGTTTCAATGCTGTGCCAATCGGAGATCGTAGTAGTTATGGGGATGGGGAAAGTGTTGCTTCAGTTAAGCACCTTTCCTGCTTTTTTCAGGTGAGGTTTTGTTCCAGTTCCCATGAAGCAGTCAACAAGATAATGGACAAAAACTGTGAGGAATTAGTGAAGGTTTTAAGACACTCTGAAATTGAAGGTTGACCAGCACCAATTAATGAATGACAATCACATTTTGAAGCTGTCAGAGCTGCATCACTTTGTCCATTTAACATTTTCAATTGTGATTCACCTTTAGCGAGCAGTTCCTGCAGGGCGTTCCTGGCCAGGGAGCCACGGATCTTCAGCCTCTCAGACACAACAGCAGGTGTGATGAGCTTGTAGTTAGGAACTTCTTTGTACAGCTTGTCGTAGGTGGCCTTGTCGAAGAGGATCAGGTTGTTGAGCTTGTCCCTCACTTTTCCCTTGGACCACTTCTGCTCAACCACACAAACATATAAAGTCAAGTGCTGCCAGGAGAAACACTTCACAATGAGTCAATACCTTCTTCTTGGCTTTGCCTCCAGACTTATTAACTGGGTCCTTGTCCTTCTTGGACTTCCCAGTGTCCTTTTTCTTGTCTGTCTTGGGAGGCTGAAGGTGGGGAAGGTGGGTCATTAATTTGCAAGCAGATCCAATAGAAAATTACAGTTCAATCTAGAGGATGTGTATATACACAAGTAATTACATGTGAATATCACAAGGGCCATTTGGTAATAAGACGTCACCCAGAACAGCGTGAAATTCTGAGCATGATACGAAGGGCCATTTGGTAATGTCACCCAGAACAGCGTGAAATTCTGAGCATGATACCAAGCCGCTAGCCAATGCTCACGCAAACTTGAGCACATCACTGGCATGGAAAGGCCTTTTTTTGTGTCGCTAAGCATCAAAACGTACATTTATCAACGTGTGGAAGTATCCATCAACTAAAACGTCAAGTTATCATCAGGACTTATGCGCATACAAGACCCGTTGTTTCATTGTTCCAATGCTTTTATGGAGCTTCTTCGCTCACAAGCGGTATGAAAGCGTGGCGGAATTAGCACACAAGCTAACCAGCGTCAGCTAACTTTGTTTGGGCGTTTGCTTCCATATTGACAAAAAATGAAATGAAGCACACTTGCTTCGCCGTATATCCCGACTGTTCAATCGTCAGACGAAGCCATAGAAACGCGTGGATTTGTTGACTTTAACTCGTTTTAAGCCACGCTAGTTGCACTCACCATGTTTCCTCGTCAAGATGTCGGAGCGAAAGGAAGTCAGCCCCTGCGAAAAGGCATAAGACAACCCGTACATGCGGAAGTGGAGTAGAGGATTGTGGGAATATGAGTTATCGCGTTGATTCCGTTTCCACCTCGAATGAATGCTCAGAAACGCCAATAAGTGTCAGCACAGGATCAACGTTTTCGGAAAATTACCAGAGTAAAATCAAAAATGTGGGGACAATAAAATGCAAAAAAAAAAAAAAAAAAAAAAAAAAATATGGGACAATAAAATGCCCAAAAAAATAAAAAATGCAAAATCGCCCCACACCGTGTTATTGTCACGTGACCGCTGCTGTCGGACGTCGCCAAGATGGTGATCTTCAGTGTGTATGTAGTCAACAAGGCTGGAGGTTTAATTTACCAGTATGACAACTATGTGCCGAGAGCGGAGGCCGAAAAGACGTTTAGTTACCCTTTAGATTTGGTGCTCAAGCATCACGATGAGAAAGTGGTCGTGTCGTTTGGGCAGAGGGACGGAATCAAAGGTAATGCCTCAAATTTTGACGCTGACTAGCATTCGTGTTAGCTCATGTCCTGATTGCTTGCTAATAGAAATGTAGTCCAATATGTTTCAGTAAACGTGGGGTTTAATTTAATACTCTAAGATCCAACAAATAGCGACATGTTACTTTTATACTTCAATGAACAATGTCCGTTAAAATCCGTTGGTCGTACATTGTGTTACGAAGAAATATAGCAAAACTCAAATTTAAGTTATTACACCCACAGACAAAAACATTGTTGATTTGTCTCAATTAATGTCTAGTAGTTGTAATAACATTTTTATTCTTCCAGTGGGCCACGCAGTTCTCTCCATAAATGGGATTGATGTGATGGGAAAGAGTACAGCGGATGGCAAGGACATCCTGGAATACTTGAAAGACCCCTCCAATTATCCAGTGTCAATTCGATTCGGACGGGCTCGACTCAGCTCCAATGAGAAGCTGATGTTGGCGTCTATGTTTCATTCGTAAGTCAGATTCAGTACATCTGGTTTCATTCCTAATTCTCTCGCACATTTGCAGCATCTTTTGTTTTCCCCAGGTTGTTTGCTATCGGATCACAGCTGTCTCCAGAGCCTGGAAGTTCAGGGATTGAGATGCTGGAAACGGACGTGTTTAAACTCCACTGTTTCCAGACTCTTACAGGTGGCGTATGAAGCTAATTTGCTCCCAGTTTAAAAAAAAAAAAAAAATGCCAGATGACCACCTGTATAAAATGTAACTTTTGTGTCCTCTCAGGAATAAAATTCATAGTGCTGGCAGACCCGCGACAAGCCAGCATTGATGCTCTCCTCAGGAAAATATATGAGATCTATGCAGATTTTGCTCTAAAGAATCCATTCTACTCACTCGAGATGCCTATCAGGTACACATGGTCACCTTTAACCTTACGCTCCAATCCAATCTGGAATTTTAAGTGTATTTTACCCCTTGTGGCCAAGTTTATTATGTTTGAATTTTCTATTTCCAGATGTGAACTATTTGATCAGAACTTAAAAAGCGCCCTGGAGATTGCAGAGAAGGCTGGCAACTTTGGAGCTGGGTCATGAAGCAGAAAATAATCATTTTTTAGTTCTTGTTCATTTATAAAAAAAAATTTGCTGTGTCCCAGTGACAATACAATGACTACACTGTATATACTTCTTGTTTTGTAAATACTATTAAACTCAAATAATATTTCAAGTGACACGATTGTTTGCAAGGTAGCTCATAAGAACATTGAAAATGGTTGACTCTTCAGAGTAGGTTCATGTCATTAAGAGGCTACTTGAGGAGATATGTTTCGAGAAAAACCTCCAAAATTGAACACCAGTAAATTAAATGTAAAAATGGAGGGACTAGAAAAGAAAACAACTTGGAAACCTTGGAACTTGGAAATGATTATTTGCCATGAGGTGGGGGATCCACCCCATTTCAGCCGTTCCCTTGTTAAATTAATGATGAGATAAGAGACAATGTAACAGTTTTTGGATACAAGCATGTCCAAATTTTTTTTGCTTCATTTTACATGCTGAAAATAATGTGATTTGTATAAAAAAAAACTTGTTAAAAAACCAACAAGCTAATATGACGAAGGTTTCAGATGTATCTTCTTGTGGGGAAATTAGGACATACTGATGTTGGCGTCTATGTTCCATTCGTAAGTCAGACTCAGTATTTCTGGTTTCATTCCTAATTCTCTTGCACATTTGCAGCGTCTTTTGTTTTCCCCAGGTTGTTTGCTATCGGATCAACAGCTGTGATGCCACAGACGATCTCTGCAACCCAGAAGGCCATTTCCCAGTCGTAGTGTTTGGCAATGGTGCTGAATGGGAGCCCAGAGAGGAAGCCACCAACTGAGGAAGAGATCAAATTTGCTGAATTTCTTACCTTCAGATTATTAAGACAAAATATTCAAGTTCAGTTGTGGGAGTTTACCAATCCAACATGTCCAAAATTGTGCAAAAGCACTTTTGCACCTCTGGATGTTTTATTCTCGCAAATTGTTTTATTCTAGCAAATTCTCCAGATAACCATCTCATGGATGGAAATAAAATTGTTGATATGAAATCGGTTGTTCTCTCGTGCAACATTCCTCTATGAAATTTTGTGAGCATGAGTTTGTGTCACCCTGCTGCCTGCATCTTTAATAAGGGCTATGATAGCAAATACCAAACTAGTGCTGACCTAAGACTTTTGCACAGTACTTATTGCAAACAAAAAAGTAATCTACTTACTGTTAGCCATCAGAGCCACGATAGCGTGTGATGTCCCACAGTAGTTGGACGGAGCACTCTCATTGGCTATAACCCCAAACAAGGCCATTGGACCGTAGGAGGAGAAACCGAAAGCAGCACCCAAAAAGAGTATCCACACCTTCAAGTGCACACAATAGACATTAATTCCAATGCATTCTGCTCGTGATCTTACGCAGTCTCTTCATGTTGTGTCATCAATTACCTTCGGGCTGTCCGCAGTGACCGTGATTCGAAACAGGTACATGGATACAAACATTCCTGCCATCATAAGGATCAGGACAAAGTGGCGAGGATTGCCGTAGGTTCTTATGCCTTGCTGTACAGACAAAGGGAAATTGGGTTGAGAAGGTGAGTGGAGTGAAACCTTTGTCCATACTTGAGTGTATAATACGTGCCAAACAAAACGCAAATCACGGGACGGAGGAGAATGAAATTGGTTTGGGCTGTGTGTGGATTGCTCACTTACTTTGGCCACAGCTTTGTCAGAGTAATAACCTGCTGCCACGCTGCCTATGAGACCTCCCAACTCCAGCGCACTCATGTATGAGCTCCCTACGAAGAAGAAAGCGGTGAATCAACACAGACAACACCACATAAACAGTGAAGATGCAGCACTTCCCATCACTACTAAATTGACTCTTCAATGCTAGTTTCCCGATTTAACGAGAATCTCACTCGTCACGTATCGCATACCCATCAGCGTAGACTGTCCCTTGTCCTGAATGAGAAACAGCTGTCCCCAGTCGGTGCAAGCTGTCTTCACCCCAAACACCACCAGATAGGACACGGAAAGCAGCCAGAGGTAAGGTGAGAGCAGGAACTCAGACAGAGTGCTCTCATCACTGGAAGACCCTGAAGGAGATAAACATGGAAGGGAAAATGACATGTCATGAATGCAAGAAAGGTTTCATAATCCACATGGAATCATAAATCCACCACACACCGGAGCTCCCTCCACATGAGGGGCATGTGAGGGGCGTGCATCAGGTTGCTCGACCAAAGACTGCCCAGTTTGTGTGACGCAAGTATGTCTGAGTCAGTAGACTCACCTCCTTTGCTCTTCTTGGCCGCCACTTCAATACTAGGTAGCCCCACATCCTTGGGTTCGTTCTTGATGACCAACAGGCAGACAAAGGATGACGCCACACAGATCAATCCGGACACGGAGAGGATGGTCCTCCAGCCGTAACTCTGGGCCAGCACTGAGGCAATAAGAGGGCCCAAGCTGCCAGCCAGATTCATGCTGCACGCCAGGATCGCCCACCATGTTCCAAATTGAGAGGGCTCAAACCACTGAGAGCAAAGATGAAATGCTGTCATTGTCATTCCTGTGACGAACTGAATGGATGAAACCATTGGTGTCGGGCCTGTTCCAACTGCCTGTTGAAGTTGATCAATTACTGCCCCCCCCCCCTTCTCACCCCATGTTGCTGTTGGCTGCTGTTAAGGGGAGCAAGGCACAGGAAATATATGGTATATATAGACACACACATACACACACACACACAAATGGTATGATGTGGCAGAGTAATTAATGTATAGTGTTGAGCTACCTTGCGCAGCACCCTGCCACAGGGAGGCCAGCCGAGGCCCTGGCCCAAGCCGTTGAGGAACCACAGGGTAGAGAAGACGGCCACAGTGGATGACCAGGAGAAGACTACGTTGATGCCTCCCACCGCAAACAAGCCAATAGAGAAGAGCCAGCGGGCACTGATCTGGTCTGAAAGCACTCCACTGATGAACTTACTGATAGCGTAGGCCAAAGACTGACTGCTGGTTATCATGCCTGAGCAAGCAGAACACACAAACAACACGGTTGTGATACATAAACTTTATAAGACAGTCATGGTTCAAAATACAGGAATAAATTCATGTGACATGTTCAAGCATACCGAGATCATCCTTGTCCAGTTCAATCTCCTGCATCAGCGAAGGCATCACAAAAGAGAATGTCTTTCTGTTAAAGTAGTAAAGAGTGTAGCCAACAAACATGGCCAAAAATATTGTGCCCCGATAGTATGAGTAACTTGCTCTACCCATGACTGCAGATGTAAAAAATTAAAATAAAAAAATCTATATATATATGTTTAGATATATTTGAAAAGAGAATTCCGAGAGGAGATCAGCAGCCGGTGCCTGCCGGTGAACTTTGCTTCAGGATCTACAATGTCGGAGCAGCTGCTGTTTACAACTAAGGACTGTTTGTAATCTGTACAAGTTAATGGTCAACTCCCAAACACCAGAAATGATTTAATCTGGCCTCTTGGTGTGTATTACACGATAGGTATGTTGTTTGTTATGATCATATAATCCTCAAAAATGATTGGCACTATTCAGCACAAATTTCCGAAATTAACAATGACCTTGAAATATACTGTCGCGATATGCTTATGGAACCCTTGGACTAATGAAGTTAATAATTTACTGCCATTTTTTTTCTTTATAAAAGCAGAAAGCAACATTTTAAAATCAAACAGCGAAACTGAACAGGACGTTGTCCTCGCTATATTCAGAATAGCGTGCATCGATTTGAACGATATCTTCAACGAATTAACTATTACTGCAATGACGTTTCCGCATCACGTGAGCCAATCACAGCGCCGCTACGCTCACTGAGGCGTGATTGCAACCGAGCAACTTTTACCGCTAAACGTACGGAAGTAAACATCATTTTTGTAGCATAAAACAACACATGCATTTGAACGTAACTTCTACATCGAAAAACACGCGGTTAATACTTAGTAGCGCCCGGTAACGTTCGCTCGCTTGCACCAAGTTACAATATTATAATAACGAACCGATGGAGACGCCCCTTTTTCAAGCCAATGATATTAAACGCACGAACTGCGCCATAACATAATGCTTTCATTTCTATCATTGAGTTGTTTCAATGGTCCGTTTTCACTTTTGCTGTCAAACCCGCCTTCCTCAGCTTCTTCTTCGCTTTTCTGAGGGGATGTTCAATTCGCGCTTCGGCATACTTGCGCTTCCTATGGGTTTGTTGTTCAAGCACGACGCGAGGCAGAAACACTACAAAAACGACAGAATAAAAAGTAAACACTGTATGTCATTGACCATTTAAAGTGTTTTTAGCTCGAAGTTTTTTTTTTTTATATATAATAATAAACAGTATCTCCTTGCAGTATCTTCATCGTGTTTCTATGGCAACAGGACAACATGACGACAGAAGTTTCCTGGAACGCGCAACGGGCAGCTTTCTGGGCAACTTAGTTTTTTTTCTCGCTCTATTTTTACGGCCAGAAATATTTTACTGTTTTGACTACATCTGGACGAGGAAAAAATGGTCTGGTTTGAACATTTTTGTTTGCTATTGTTTTTACTGTTTTTTGTGTGTGGTGGGGGAGGGACGAGGTGGTGCTTTGCTCTACATACTGCCATAGTGTAAATTGTTTTGCAAATAATGTTAAGATAAATTAAGTTTTTTTGGGGGGGTTGACTATAAATTAGCTTTCAATATTACAAAAAGCACACATTATTTTACAGGACCTAATCATAGATTGAATGGTTCATGAATCGAAAATGTATACTTTTCCATGGACATCAGTGAAAACATATTACAGATAAATTAAAATGATTTATATTTTTAAATTGATCATTGTTACATTCAACAGTCAATCATGACTTGTTAGCGTGAATGGAACCAGACAGTGATAATTATTGGAGAAATGTCAACTTTTCAGAGCGAAAGCGCTTCCACTTCAAATTTGAGAAGGCAACATCGCTACCGCACACGAGCCCCCTCCTCCCAGGTGGATGAAAGCCTGTTTGAAAAGAAGACACGGGTGAGTGTGTGTCCTTTACCTTCTGCATCTGTTAAACTGTCAGGTGAGTGTTTCGTTGTTGTTTAGAGATCATCACATTCGGCCTCGAAGGCAAAGGATGTGTCGGTGCAGAAGCAGATGGGCAACACGATCCAAATTGTCACCAAAGACCACGTACGCAATCTCAGGTAATTTAATTTCATCTGATTTCCAGCTACATTCCCAAAACATACATGCTAGGTTCACTGAAGACTAAATTGGCCACGGGTGTGAATGGTTGTTTGTCTATGTGTGCCTTGCAATTGGCTGGCCAACAGTCCCGGGTGTACCCTGCGTCTCACCCAAAAACAACTGGGATAGGCTGCTCACCTGCGACCCCAGTGAGGATAAGGGTATAGAAAAGTTTTGGGAGAATGTCATCCTCGTGCGTGTATACGTTGTGATTATCTGAGCCTGTGGATTTTCCATTGGGGTCAGTACTTGTTATCTTACTGTGATTTAATCAGCAGGTATAACTAACAACATATGTTTGTGTGGCCAGGGTTCCATGCAGTGATCCTTCTGGACAGTCCATCATTCTGCCATTATCCGACTTTGAGCGGATT